AAAAAGAAACTTTTTATCAAAGGTATATACATAACCTTACATAAGCTATAAGTTACATAACCTATAATTCGTTAAAAGTCCCTTTTTTCGCAACGCATCACAATTGTAATTAATAATTAAATATAATAAAAATTATTTGAAATTACATATTTAGACTTTAAAGTTTTACTGAATTTTTATATTACAAAAATTATATAATTAAAGAAATTTCACTACTCTTCGTTTAAAAACTATTTAGGAAAGTTCAATTGAAATCAATTTCAATGAAATGTTATTGTAGATCTTTAAATCCGAGAAGGAGAGAAAAGAGAATGAAAGAGGGGGGGCGCAGAAACGAATCAAGAGTGTTATTATGCCGAATCATGCAATCTGAAAATCATACAAAATTACTGAAAACCACAAGAAACTAAAACCTGTAAAGACAAAGTGGGGGGAGGAAGGGTTGGTGACGTTGTGGGAGGCGGGTGGGAGGGGGGGGGGGTTGAGTAAGTGTTTCAAGAGGTTTTTGTGGAATGGGTATATTGGGGGCTTAAGACGTTATAATTTTGTTTGCATCGTAACGGCCACGAGACACGAAACCGTTTCTTGGACTCGAAACAGAAACCCTTTTAGGACTCTCTCGTGTCATATATATATATATATATATATATATATATATATAGGGAGAAAGAGTTACACAGATGAAAAAAAGATAGGGGGGAGGGGGTTAAGTTTTTGATGAAACAAAAGCACGACGCGCCAAGACCGTTATTTGAATTGTTGATCCTTTCTAGCTCCATCAGAATAAAAAAAAATACCCAAAGGGGTTATAATGCGACATGTGAGAAATAAAAGAATACGAGAAAATCTCTTTCGGTGCCAATTATCTCCTTTTTTTATTTTATATATATATATATATATATATACAGAGAAACGAATTAGACATATTGTTTTATTTAATCCAATATGGATGTGAAAAAAATTGGGCTATTTAAAGTTTTTTTTTATATTATATTGTTATATTATACAATAAGTAATATTATTTTTTTTAAATTACAATATTATACTGAAAGTGAATTTTCCCGGAGAGAGAATTTTTTTGGGGAATATTTAAATTTCAGATATGTTATATTGTATATATGGCGCGATTAAAAATTTGCGCTGGATTGTAAAATATGTTAAAATAGTTTTAATCTTATTGAAAATCTCTTGTCCTCGACGAACATGCTTCTAAACTCTACTTTAATTCTAGACTAGTATCCTGTAATTACAGTTACCCAACCAGTATTAAAAGGGGTCATGACCGCGAATATTGAAACAGGATTAAAGGACTTACCGAGATTTATATATATATAGCAATCTTTAATTTCAAATTATCAACAACAAATAATTAAAAAAAAAAATAAGTTTATAACTTTTTTTCAAATTTATTTTTTTTTGCATAAAAAAAAATGATACCACCTCTGTGATGCATAAATTTAATTAATTATATGTAATGTGAAAAGAATTTTTTTTTGGCACACTAGAAAAAAAAACCAGATTATCTTAACAATTTCTTTTAGGAGAGAAAAAAAACTAATATATATATATATATAGAAGAGATGCAACGTGAGAAAAAGGAGTGTGGTCTTGAATTTACTTTGAACGCGCGGGGTGTTGAGACAATAGCAACGCCTACCGATTTGCATCCCTCGGGAAAAAGGTTTTTGAAACAAAAGAAACTTTTGCCTAAAGGTCTCGCTATATATGTATATATATAAAAAAAAAATTTTTTTTTCCTCATTTCCTGCTCGACTAGTGACATGAAAACTGGTTCTGGTTTTACAAGCAGCTGTCAACGACTTAAGTTATACTATATAATAGAAATTTAATTGATTAAACTTTATTTCGTTTTTTAACTATGTTATATTTATATATAGTATGGGCTTATATAAAAAAAATCTTGTTAAAATTTAAAAACATTTTTACAATGTAATATTAAGTTTTCAAGGACCTTAATTTTTAAGGAATCAGTATGAAGATGCTTAGTAGTAGTAGCAGAAGTCTTAAGTCTCAATAGTTACAACAGTCTCAATAGCTTCAGCAGTCTCAATAGTCTTAAATCTCAACAGTTTGAAGTCTCAATTCTCATAAGCCTTAAGAATCAATAGTCTCAAGTCTCAATAGTCTCAAGTCTTAATAGTCTCAATAGTCTCAAGTCTCAATAGTCTCAAGTTTCAATAGTCTCAAGTCTCAATAGTCTTCAGTCTTAATATTCCCTAGTCTCAACAGTTTTAGTTTTAAGTCTCAATAGTCTTAATTCTCATTAACATTAAGAATCAATAGTCTTCAGTCTTAATATTCCCTAGTCTCAACAGTTTTAGTTTTAAGTCTCAATAGTCTTAATTCTCATTAGCATTAAGAATCAATAGTCTCAAGGCTCAATAGTCTTAAGTCTCAATACTTACAAGTCTCAACAATTTCGGCCCTTTTTTTTACGAAATTCTAAACAAATTATTACTTTTATCGTTAATTTGTATAGCATATGTTTGTTAAATGAAATTACGAAATTTTTAAATGAATTTGTTTTTGCAATCGCGATTAAGGGAGTTTGTATAGTGCAACTTTTTAATCTCTCTCTCTCACTCTCTGCAAAAAATATGCCATTGCATTCATAGAATAAACTCGAATAATATGCTAACACAAAGTTTTTAAACACACTTTAAACACACATAGAGAGCAAGGGAGATCGTTTCATTTGCAAAAAATTCATTTGAATCCTCTATATGTAGCATCGAAAGGGTTCTAAAAGTGAGGCGCCGAAATAATTGGATTTTAATTTACGCTCTCAGTAAAAAAAAAAAGGAAAAAAAGAAAAAACATCCCTTTCGGGCAAGTTGGTTTTGGAATTAGGCATGAGAACTTGTCGAATGGGGTGACGACTATTTGGATAACATAACTTTTTTTCTTCAACCGATTCCCACGTCCCTTGACGCGCGATGAGAGATGAGCTTTTGAATATCTGAGCAGTTCAAGTATCTATCTCTCTGATGGTGTTTTTCTATCATATATACATATTTAAAATTACTTTTACTGGTTCTTCGCAGGATTATCGACTTTATTCGTATTCATCTGTTTGATGAACTGGTACTGCGAGTGCAATATATATATAAGGGGGTGTCAACCAATTTATATTGATTTTCAAACAAATTTTGATTGGTATAAGGGCGGGACTTTCTCACTCTGATCTTTTAAAAAAAAAATAATACAACTGAAAGAGGGTGCGAAAATTGTCATTCGATTCTATATGAAGATTTTTTTTTAAAAAACTTATTTGTAAAAAAATATTTTTAATTGTTTTACAGTATTAAAAATTGTAATATCGTAATGTAAAATTGTAGTTATTTTGAAAAAAAATTATATTTTAAATATACGACTTTCTAAAATGTAATAAAACAATTTCAGTTGTATCGCAAAAACTTGAAAGACAGAATATATATATATATATGCACGCGAAAATTCCCGACAGAAAGAATGGAAGCGAATGTTTTAATTAAATCTCGAAGGAAACGTGAAAACTTTGCCATCACCGTTCTCGACGTTTTTGCGATTTTCCGAAAAGTTTTCCTCGCGTTGCCTCTCTGCTCTTGTGGCTTTTAAGAATGGAGAGCGCGCGCGCCCTCTCCCTGAAAAGAGAGAAAGAACAGAAGAAAGAAAATCGGACTTAACTTTACGTCCCCGTGTCGTGCCCTTAAACTCTCTTTTTCTTTCTCAAGCGAAAAATAAAGGAAAACCGCGCACACATACAAAAAAAAAGAGAAGGAATGTGGCTACTTAACGAAACAAATTGTTTCTTCGTTCGCTGGAGAATTTAAAAGTTTTCTACTTTGCCTTCTACATCTTCACTCTTTTATATATATATGTATATATAGTCCGCATCCCCCTTTTTTCAACCGCAATGTAACACAATTGAGCGCTCGTTAGCGACACTTTCTTTTCGAAACTCTTCTTCTGGGCTTTTGTAAATTGAAAAGTTTTTTTTTTTTTTATTTTCCTGAATTTGTTAAGAATTTTTTTTTTTAAATCTAATTTTCATAAAGTAAATTATCGAGGATCGTTCTATAATGAATTTTGTGGAAAAAATATTTTTTTATATGGAAATTTATACAAAAAAGTACAAATTGAAACAATTTGCCAAATTTCTACTTTTCTGTAGAATTATCCACAGAATTATTATTATTATAATTTTTCGATATATTATATTAAAAATAGTTGTTATTGATAAATTTAATAATTTTTCAATGTTTATGAATAAAAAAAAATTCAAAATCACACAAATTTGAAAGTATCAAATTGATACCAAAAATATCAAATTGATACAAAAAATATCAAATTGATATTTTTGGTATCAATTTGATACTTTTAAATTAGTGTGATTTTTCACGATAGATATAAATTACTGTTTGATCTTAGTCAGTAGCGTTCGCAATAAATATTTAAATTAATGATCTATATACAAGTCGATCGAATTTGAAATGTCAAAGAAAAATCGACTTGTTTTCTTAGTCTGTAAATGACAAAAAGTAACATGAAACACAACGAATAAAGCACATGCTGGGATGCATACATATATATTTTTAAAAAAATATATAGTTGTCTTGCAATCATATATATATATATATGAGAAACCAAAGAAATAAAATTCGGCGTGCTACATGAAATTATAATCGAATGTGAAAATTTATAAATTAAAAAAAAATATATTGAAAATTTTTTCAGAATTCATAGGAAAAGAAAAAAAAATGTTTTTTGCATTTATATAAAAAACGAACTGATATATATAGGCGAACTGGGCGACGTGCAGGAGAAAAAATATAAGAATGAAGATATAATAAGAGCAACAACAATAATAATAAAAGGATGCAAATCGAGAATTAAAAAAAAAAGCGATGGTTAAAAGGGCAGGGTGGGAACATATATATATATAAAATATATATTAATATATATATTTTTTTTAAATACGGGCTGAGTGTTCAACTCACTCGTTGCAGGGTGGACCAGCATTCCTGGAGGGCGCGTTCGCTGATGTTGTTGCTCATTTCTCCTCCACCTCCACCAGGACCTATGAGCCCAGCTCGAGACTATCGGGCAAGACAGGAGACTCGCATTAGTCGGGATCTCTGTCTTTGATCTCATATATACATGTATATAGCGATCGGTCATGTTCGAAAAGATCAGTCAACCATTCGAACACGCGAATATTTTTCAAGAATTATACAAACATTTCCACTTTTACAAATATTTCAATCTTTATTGTCAGAGATTCAGAGTCTTAAACCAATAATGAAGACATATATAACTATCATTGAAAAATGTCTCAATATTTATTATTATTATTATATTATTATTACTATTATTATTACTATTCATTTAATTACTACTAATTTTATTAGAAATAAAAACAAAAATTAAAGAAATAAATTTTATAATTTAAAGTAAATAACTGCCCATGAACCCATATAAAAGTTTATTGACCCAATCCTTTAGTTTCCAATGTTTTTAAAGAATTGTATAAAATAAAGAAAACCTCAAGTTATATATTATTATTTATTCAAACAATTTTTTATTTGAGTAAAAAAAAATTCTATTATTTTCCAATTATTACTATTAATATATTAATTAACAATTATTACTGAATAATTGTATCATTTTATAATTTTTGTAATGAATATATAATATATTATATCCGGATGCTGTGAAAGGAAAAGGGACGATTCGCGGTTTTAAAAAGTAAAAAAAAAAAATTCTGTGGAATAAAGTCCCGGTTTTAAACTTGGTATATATGAGAGAGTTAGTTATAGGACATATGCGTGACCATCATGCAAAAGAAACGGTGTCGGCTCAATATTTTCTCGGTAACATCTTCTCGGCCTGTGCAGTATGACGTATGCGTATGGTATTATCTGTGTTGTGCAGGTCAAGAACCCCGGGAGACGTATCTGCATCCCCGATGGTATGTGTGCGTACGTCGAGTATTCGTATTTGGTGCCATGTATATATATATATGTGATGCAGTAAGTCAACGTACTGGAGTGTGCATGAACCGTGGTCAGCGTATCTCGGTACAGTCGCGGGTTGGAACAATTGACAAAATTGTTTGTGGAATGCAATCCACAATTTTTAGGATTATAAATATACAAAATGTTATTTACTACACTTTCTTATATATAGTCATTATCGAATTTTTATTATTATTTCCAATTAAATTTTTAATTTGATAATTTTAAAAAACTATTTCTATAAAAAACCTATTTCTCCTTTTGAGGAAAAATTTGAATAATATCTATACTTTAGATGACAATTTTCTACTTTTTACTAAAAGTTTCCCCCCACACATGCTAATATTGATGTATGATTTTTATGAATTTTTCTTTTTGTTTCAGATGACTATGGACGCGAAAAAGGGTATAAGAAAAAGTGCAGCGGTTTTGAAAAAAAGGTTTGTTTTATATTAATGATGAATAATAACATTGACAAAAAAAAATTAGTTCCACTTTGGGCGATTGTGACTCACAGGATTAAAAATCCTTTTTGTTTCTTGCGATCGTATTTTTTTTTTTTTGCTAAAATCACGTTTACCTGAACTAGCCAAATTTTTAAGTATATGCCCAATTCAATCAAAAAACATACGTAAGTGAGATTGAAATACGTGTCACTTATGTTTTTCCAATGATTTTTAAAATAGTAATAATAGTAGTAATAGTAATAATAATTAAAAAATAAGAATCGAAATAGAAAAAAAAATTCTCCTATAGTAATAATCTGATTAACTTTTTATAAAGAAAATTATCTCTGATTTTCTGAATTATAATTATCTGAATGAACAAATCTAATGTATATCATATATATGATAATCAAATATTAAATCCTAACTTACATGCAGAGAATGAAATTTCCCAATTTTCCCAAAAAAGCATATCACCATTTAGAGAGAGAGTATGTGATATATATATACAATTATAAACTCACCTGCAATTCATTCATCAGTTTCTCCGAGAGTGTGACATCGTGAGAATCCTGACTACCTGCACCAGGACTCAGCATTGAATTCTGCGAATTTTGCTGTTGATTCCCCGTAACGTTCATGCCACTCAGACCACCATTTTGACTAATTGAATTTGCCATATTCAAAGCTTGCTGTTGCATATTTTGACTTAAATTTTGTACTTGTTGTTGTAAATTTTGCGGCATTGTTTGACTTAAATTTTGTGCCTGCTGCTGCAATGTTTGATGATTTAATGTTTGTGTTAAATTTTGCGCTTGTTGTTGTGATAAATTTTGCACTTGATTTTGCATATTCTGTTGCAATTGTTGCTGTTGGCTTTGACTTAAATTTTGTGGTTGATTTAATAATTGTTGTTGTTGTTGTGGCGATAAACTTGGCGTGAGACTTTGAGCAAGATTATGCTGTAACGTTTGACCAAGACTTTGTTGCATATTTTGCTGTAGGGCCTGTGTCAGTGCTTGGCCCAAATTTTGATTTATTGCTTGAGCAGCTTGCACAGCTTGGACGGTGAGTGTGGGACTTGAGGCTTGTGACATTGTTTGTTGTGCTTTCGCTTGGACTTGTGCCTGAGCAAAACTATGTAAACTTTGCACCATACATGTGTTGATGGAATTTTGATGATCAGCTTGTGGTGATGGCGATGTGGGCGATGGGGAAGACTGATGTTGTTGGGAAGGTTGTTGGCTCATCATTAAAGATGGTTGCATTGGTGTGGAATTTTGAGTTATTGTTTGTTGAGCCTGTGAGGCAGTAGTGGTTTGCTGCTGTTGCTGCTGCGGTTGTTGTTGCTGTTGTTGTTGTGGTTGCTGCTGCTGTTGCTGTTGCTGCTGTCCAAGAGGACTGTGGAGATTTGTCTGGTTTTGTTGGGTCGAATTCTGTAAGGGACTGTGCTGCAGTCCTGGTGAATGTTGAGGTGGTCCTCTTTGGGGCTGTTGCCAATAGTCGGACATTTTGAAGACATGCTGTCGTAATGCGTGTAGATTTGCCGCAGCAGCGGACACTGCCGATGCTTGTACCTCCATTGGCTCGGGTACCGGATCGAGATCCGGCTCTGGTGATGTGCAGGGATCTTCGTCTTCCTCCTCGTCTTCCCTTTCGGTGATGTCTTCCTCTTCGTCGATTCTTGTGGGCCTTGTATCTGTCTCGGGCCCAATTGGTCGATGATTTCCACCGCCACCACCAGCACCACCACCGCCGCCTCCTCCTCCTGGTACACCTATCCCACCCCCCGAATCGCCAGAGTGATGATGATTGATCGGGTGATGTTGGAGATGATGTTGATGATGCTGATGATGAAGGTGTAGAGGCCTCGCCTCTGTATTTTGTTGTTGTTGATGCGTTTGTTGATTTTGTTGTTGTTGTTGTTGCTGATGATGATGGTGATGTGGTTGCTCCAGACCAAAGTCCGGTTGGGCTTGCGTTTGGGCGCGCAGGTCTAGGGCCGCCGTCGCGTCCGAAATCTTGAGGCCTTCGCGCGAAGCCCGGGCTACCCCCTTCCGGCGCAGCTTGCCCGATTTTTCGCACGCCTTTCGGTAAGCAGCTCGACGACGGGCACACTTCCGCGCTTGCCGCCGTTACACGCTCCGAATTGATTCCACAGATTTCTCGTCGACTTACGACGACACGTTAGACGTCAGTTTCGTCGCGCCACGTGACGAAACCAAACCGTGACTTTTTCGTTCATCAAACTTATTTTTCAACTTATGATCTCACTTTTTCCTTGTCCCCTTTTTTCTTCTTTTCTTCTTATCACTGTCTGAAATGTATTTGTGTGTGTATGTGTATGATTATTTATGTACAGTTTTTCTTTTATTTGGTAGTGTATTCAATTTAAATGCGCGCGATCGAAATTTTTTTCTCGTCGAGAGAAATAATCCTATTTCTTCTTCTTTCTATCTACTTAAAGTCTATTGTACACTTAAGTTCAGGTTAAAATTCAGGATTGCCCAGCCCGGACGGTGTGAACGAGACGAAGGTTCACGGACTTGACTCGGTTGGAGGTCGAAGATTCTCTTCGGAAAAAATCTCACACTGGATGATACTGCTCGTCCCGTTTTGCCCTGAGTATATAGCCCCGTTTGGTTTTTTTGTGTATATTGTTTGTGAATTGTATATGTGTTTTTTGCGGACTAATCCGCTGTAAATCTTCAGCGGGACGAGAGCACTCCTATTTATTTTCTTCAAAACCTTCCTTCTTTGTCTGTATTAATTTTTGTTGTTGTCCGTTGACTTCTTCTTCTCGAAAAAAAAAATGCGACTCTAGTGTTTTATCGATTATCGATTACCGCGTCGTACCGATCGCCGATGGTAAATAGTAGTAGTTGCTTATTATCGTTTAGAGTAGGTTTAATTAATATTGCACTTAGGTACACTCGTTTTTTGAACACACTGAAATATAAATTTTTATGCGGCGCGGGTTTCTCCAACCGTTCTTTTTCCTCTGGTGTTTTCCTTCTTCTTCTTCTTTCTTGATCTTCCGCTTTCTTCTCGTGTTCTTGCTCATCCACTTATTTTTTTCTCTTCTATTTTCTTTCTCACTTCTTCTTCTTCTTCTCCTTCTCCACTCGATGAGTATTATTATCCAGATTTCATTTCACTTTAAACCCGCTTCTAACCGATCTTCTTCCGCTTTCCTACTCTTCTATTTTTCCTCTCTTGTCTTATTCTGCTTCTTCCACTTTGTCCAGTCTTCCTCTCCTGCGCGGGAATTTCTCGCTGCAACGCGTCTCCCGCTCCAAGCTGAAATCACAAAATAGAAACTCGTTCAAGATTATCTCTCTCAGGGCTTCATCCCATGTTTCGTGTCAAGGTATACACGAATTGTTTCGCCTGGCGATAATAATCGTTTTCTCTTGACACGAACCAATGACAGTTTTTTTCTACTAATATAAGGGGGCAAAAAAACAATAAACACGAATCAATGATTTTTTTCTACTAACATAGGGGAGAAAACACAAACCAATGACAGTTCTTTTTTTCTAGGGGAAAAAAACGCGAACCAATGACAGATTTCTTTTTTTTATTCATATAGGGGAAAAAAACACGAACCAATAATATTTTTTTTAGGGAAAGAAACAAATCACTTTTCGAATTCTCTTCAAGCAGGAACACTGTTTTTAAAAACAAATAATCCTTTGGCAATTTGAATGCACATGAATAATTTTTTATCTCTGCACAAAAACAAATTTTTTTCACTGGCAAAATTTTTGTTTTAGAATATATTTATCACTGTTTCCCACTTGAAGATCTCATCGAAAAGTTTTAGAAATTATTTTCACGATTTTCAAATTTCGCACACTATTTTAAAAACTATTTGTTTTTTCTAATCATGATTGGTATTAGGTTTTTTTTGTATTAGGTCTCTCTCAGTATTAGGTTTTTTTCAATGATGATTCTTATATTAATTTTTTGTCACAAAAAGTCGATCCAATTCGCACTTATATATGCACACGGCCTAGTTTCACTCTTTGCCTCTTTATAAAAGGAAAAAGGAAGAATGACAAAGAATATGATTGTTCTTTTTTTTCATTGATGATTGGACATCGAGAAAAAGGTGAACTCGCGAAAAAGTTGTCAAGCACGTTATTTCCTTTTCATTTGTAAAAATCGCGAATTCAATTGAACTTTTGCCAAGGACGTTTTCACTTTTTGATTATTACCACGAAAAAATTGAATTAATATTTTTTTTTCTTTTTAACGTCACTCGATTAATTCACTTTAATTGCGGAAAAAAAAGTGTCGAAATAAATTTCCAAATTAAAGAAAATGAGTAAGAAAATTTTTGAGGAAAATTTTACGTGAAACACAAATGTGTAAACAAATAGTAAAAAAAAATTCGGGAAATTTGAAAATTTAAAAAAATTTGAGGAAAAATTAAGTAAAACAAATGTGTAACAAATATTAGTAAGAAAATTTGAGAAATTTTAAAAGAGGAAAATTTAAGTAAAATAAATGTTTAAACATTAGTGAAATAAATTTTAAGTTCAAATTTAAGGAAAATTTAAGAAAAAACAAAGGTGTAAACAAATATTAGTAAAGAATTTGAGAAATTTAAAAAGAGGAAAATTTAAGTAAAACAAATAAATGTTAGTCAAAAGAAATGAGGGAAATTTAGTGTAAAGTAAAAATAGTTAGAAAAAATTCGCATTTTTGTAAAATTATAACTGAAGGCTAAGTGAAAAACTTTTAAATTGAAATAATGTATATGCTCGAAAGTGACGAGAATGCAATTAAAATATCTTTTTCACTATTTTATATGCACGCACTTGTCACTGTCAAATTGAGTCTCTATAGAAAAGTTTTCCAGTCGTGGGTATTTCATTATTTTTAAATATTAATTCCATTTCACTTGGTATTGTATTCTTTTCTCAGTTGTCTTTTTTTTCTCATGTCATCAATGTTATAGGCGCGCGAGCGGTAATTTAGCTCTCTCTGTCTCGTACCGTCGCAACGCGCGGGAGTTTTCGATGCACGTCGCGAGGGAGGAAATAGGAAAAAAGACACACAATGAGAAAAATTGCATACGCAGAAAAACATAAAAGATATCTTAGTGTCATATATTTCATTTGGAAAAATCAACTCTCTATTTAAGATAAATGTCAGAAGTTTATAAGTTTCCTTTGAAATTTCATATTTTTCCACAAATTGAAAATTATTATTCTCTATACTTGGTACATATCACGAATGTAAAAATTGTGGAAAAGTTCTTTTATTAGCAAAAATTTCGAAATGAGAATTACTCGACAAAATCGGATTGTAATAGAACTAATCTGGTTTGTTGTTGCAATTATTTCTTGCTAGTCCAATTCGGAATTGTCAAAAATTTTTTCTTTGCCTATAAGAAATCTGATTTCTTGTCACAAATTTGTTTTCGTTCGTCTAACAATTTGGAATTTGTTCGTCCAACAAATTTGGTCTGTTGCAACAATTTTTTTTGTTAACGTAACAAATTTGGTTAGTTGCAACAAATTTTTTGTTTTAAACAATTTGAAATTGTGATAATAGTAAAAGTATTCCAAAAAAAATAACTAGGGAGAAATAATTTTTTATGGACAAAAGTTGATCAATAATTATCATTTGAGATTTAAGGATTATTGTAAGAAGGAAGAAGTAAAGAAAACAGTAGATTAGAAAATTTTTTTTTGGAGAAAAAATTTTGTATTCTTTAGTTGATTCTTGGAGTTGAATCTTGAGTCAATGGAAGTTTATAGTCCAGTAAGACTAGGGATGCTATAGACTTGACCTTCACTATGGTCAGGTCTATATTCTGCAGAATCCAAATATAACTTTTGACTATTAATAGAAGAATATTTATGAATGATAAACTTGTTCCCAATGTGACTATAAGATGATTATATATAGTCTTCTCATGTATGTCAGTAATCCAACTGACATTTTGAAATTTGGGTATTTTTCAAATTGCAATTTTACTGCAAAATCTACCTTTTTTGATATTATTGAAAACAACATTTGAAAAAGGCACTTTGATATATCCGGGTTGATAAGAATCGAATGAATGATCCTGCAAAGAGAGAAGGCCACAGCTTGACGTACAGGGCATGTCAGCCGTTGGAGGGGGCTTGGCGACTGGACAAAAGAAGGGGTAAAGCAACTGAGGTCTAAATAATTTAAAAAGTAAAGGTGAATTTTGTTTTCTATTCTTTTTTTGGTCTTCTTTTTATCTTTTTTTTTGTCTGATCTATTTTTTTGATTTTTTTTATCTTTCCATTTGCGGGAAAAAATTAAAAAAAAAAACACTTGTATATCCAATGTATTTCCACCTTGTAATTATCCTCTTGTTGTTGACTAGTGGAAGCAGACCCCATCAACGATTCCAAGGTTACTGGGACAATATAAACTTTCTTGGAAAGTAATATTTAAAATGAAAAAATCCAATGGCTTTTTTTTGACTAGAAGATGTTTGAGATATATATGAGCGCGATATTATCGCGTGTATATTATGTATCAGTCTTGCATCACACTTTACTCCCAAGACGTTATACTTATTGAAAAGACGGTGGCGCGAATCTCCCCCAAAATGAGAAAAAGCCCTTATCTTTTCCTCTTCCGCGTTCGAGTCCTTGACGGAGAAGGAACCGAACTGACTCGGTTTCGCGACTCGCGAGAAATGCTAAGTCCTTCTCCGTGGCCCGGTGGTGGCG